CACACACACACACACAGACAAGAACACCAGGCAGATCAGCTCACGCACACACAAAGTCACGCACGCGTGCACAATGGCGTGCGCGCCAACAGACACACGTACAAACGGCAGGCGTGCACACTCTTATGTAAACGGCTGTGGCACTTTTCGCCTCAGGCCTTACATGCCACACCTTACACTATGTGGTTGAGTGTGTGTTTGTGTGTTTAAGGTGTGAATGTTGTGTAATCAAAGGATTATAATTGGGTCTTCAAAACAGCACGTCCGGTTTCTACAGAATTTAGCTTGACATATTTTATAAAAACATGCACTCTTTTGTGATTTAATAACAGAGCAATGTTTGTTCTGATGTGTGTGGGGCCTCAGGCTTGTTTCATCTGTGCAGAAATCTGGTTTTGTCCTGTAGACTTTCCAATTCAAGTTGTAGGAATAACAATGCAGGAAGCACTACTTGGAACTAAAGCAGGTGTACGTCAACAAAACAGTTGGCCTCAAAATGAATTTCCTCTGTAATCCTCTACAACAATAAAGGTGTAGATTAGGCTGTAATGAGCTTTATATACTGTATATATCTTACACATTTCTATTCAAAATAATGTTCAATGAATGGAATCACATCGGCAGAATAATCAGCTCAACTCATGAGGTTGCAATGGCTCATAAAAAGCTAAATGCAAGGGAGAGAGGGGAGGAGCATTGAGTCGGAGAATGATTTCAGAGTCATTGTACAAAGTCAGCTAATTAAGGTTTGGAAACAACATCTTTACATCCAAAAGAGTTCAAGTAGCCTACAGCAGCAATGCAATGTAAATAAAACAACATGTTTAGCTCATCTCCTAACAACTATTATTCTACCTGTAGTTTTGTTTGCGATCCTGAACATGCAGTGTGTGGTGGTTTTTACGGGGAAGAATTTTCTGGCACATAGGAAGTGTCTCAAGATGTCAGAAAAACTGAATTTCCTGGAAAGCACTGACAGCTGCAGACTTTAGAGCTAAAAAATTAGAATATATAATAGAAATATTCCCACGGTTTTCTCTGGAGAATTGCCATGAGCACCTCATGTAAATGAGATTGTTATGGAGACTTCTCAATCCCTGGAATAATTCATGGAACAGCTTAGTCACATTATTACTTTACAAAGTACCTAGTGTCTGATCACCCCTTAATCTCTGCATAGTGCATTGCAAAACCACAAGTGAGTCAACACAAAAGATAGTAATCTGAAGTGGCCAGTTTCAAAGAGGTTATGACATGCAACTGTTTCTGCATGTGTCAGAAAACATGGAAATATGAGCCACAGAGATATCCCAAGTTGATATGAAAGATTGATATCACTGCCTCTTAGGTAGAAAATTATAAATATCAGTATCAGCAGATACTAAGTATTAAATTACTGTAGTGATTGGGAAATTGAGAATTGGCCACAGCAACAACCTGTGTGTGCGTGTGTTCAGCGAGATTCAAGCCAACAGCAGCTCACAGTAAATCTTGTGTGGAAACCTGAAACCTAAAGATCGTCAGTGAAGACAAACTAAAAGCGTCAGATGGTTTGATTTATTTTCTACTATAGTCTACTTCTAATTGGAAATACTTTTTATAAGAAACTATCTCTTACACACCTTTGAATTTTACAAATTGAGACAGTTAAAGTCTGTTTTATGAGGAGGTAGACTAACCGCTTTATAGAGGATATAAATTTGGCTGCTGCAAAATTAAAAACTCTGCTCTGACAACCATAAATAGAAAAGATTCTGTTGTGCTGTCGTGTCTGGGGTTTTGAGTCCATCTGCACCCATCTGTGAACGTACGTGCCGAGAGGAGAAGGAGTCTGTTAGAGCTACGGCTTTCTACAGCCAACAGTCTGAGAGCTGAAGAAAACTCAAGTACTGTTAAAAGTGCGGGATGTCATTGAGTAAAAATGGGGCCTCGCCCGGAGAGTGAAAGAGAAAAGAGATGAGCCAGAGCAATAGTGGCAGAATGAGACAGGGGGAGATGCAAGCCTCTAGCTTCACATGAGCGCTTTGGTCCTTTCTTTGCTGCAGTGCAGTAGCCCATTCAGTGGTTCCTCTCTCCTTTTTAGCCAAATAAATTCAAAGTGTGCAGTTCTGCCTGACCAGTATGCTGTCAGAATGAGAGATGCAGCAATTACTCTATATCCATAGTCAATATACCGACGTATTGGTGCACGCACCCGGGCCCGCACCGTGCAGCAAAAGCAGCGCCTGACCCGCATTACATCACTGAGGTATCCCTGGGCAAGGCGCTTAACCCCCATCTGCACCAGTGGGGCTGAACTGAGCAGCATCCAACTGTGAATGTGTGTAGCTGTGTGAATTTGGAGCAAGGTATTGCTGAAAAAAAGCATCTATGCTCTGTGTTTCAACCCTGGAAAAAGAAAATCAGCAACACAACACATGCTACTAAAAATGACATTACATTCTAACTCAGTGTCATCAATGTGGTCAGTCTGAGTTACTTCTTTCACACATTTGATGGAATTATTCTGTAGATATTTCACTGGTGAATATATCAAATGTTAAATGTTGTTAAATTTCCCCACCTCAAATAATGCCATTCCTTCCACTGTGCCTGCATGGTTGAATTAAGTGCATTATTTAATGGTTGTTAAACCACTCATCTGTGGAATAACTCCATGGATCATTATAAATATTAAAAGGATGACAGTAGAGCCAAAGACATCGACTAACAGCTCTATTTAAAACAACGACTTGCCAGCTCAGTCAAAACAAGCTGAAAAATTGCCAATCAATAGATGGATAAAAGCATGGAGCCTGAAAACAACACCACTTCAGGTTTCAGGAGCAACCAGAAAGAACAACAACAACAACACAAAACTGAAGACTTCATCAGATCAAACAGACAGTTGCTGCCAGCATTATTTAGTTTGTCAACATAGCCAAATGCAGAACTGTGTCGAGTTGAATTCAACAGCACAGAAAAACTTGGATTAAGTTCAAGATTCAAGTGATACCACAAAAGGCTTGCTCAGATTTCTTTCTTTACAGCTTCCTCCACCTGAGAGCAGCGATAAATCTTGAGTTTTTGTACTCAGCTGAGGCAGTGACTGGGCCAGAGGTCAAACCAGTAAGACAGATGAAAACAAGAGATTGTCTAGGGGCCCATTAAAAGAAAATTGCTGAGGAGGGACAGAGACATTCATGTCCTGCCTTTGTGGGAGCAAAGGGAGCAACTACGTGTATGTGTGTTTGTGAGAGAACATTGTGTGCGGGAGGGTGAGAGGTACCAGTATATCGCAGATGATATGACTGTGTCAGTATATCAAGGCCTGAATACTGATATCTTGTAGTCATCCAAGTTTCAGAAACATCCATTTGAGGTCTGACAGTCATACAAACATGCCATTCTTAGGCTCTAAGGTCTGTTTAGGAGAGGAAAACAGATGCCACATGTTTTGTTTTCTCTGCATTTTTCATCATTTCTCTTCCCTTTCTGCACATTCTTTGTCCTTTGTCACTGCTGTGCTCCCTTAGCCACAGAATGAATGTACGCTGTGACAAAGCTGTGCGGAGAATGTGGTTCGGCTGAATTCTTATGTTAGCACACAGCTATTGTTGTCTCACAAAAAAAAGTCTTCCTGGAAATCCTAGCAAGTGGCTGTCACCACATGCACACAGTTAAGCGGAAAAGAAAGAAAAAAAAAAAACATTTTAAAAAAATCTCCTCTCTTTATTGGGCTTTTACCTCTGAGGTGTGTTTTAAATCACATGTATGATTTATGGGGACAAAGTCACTGCTTCTGAAAATGTTTTGACATCTTTACGACCACAGGTCATTTTTGCTCTGCTGCACCTGTCATGTGATGTGGCATTAGGCCATCTGAGCCTCTTTCACTAATTCCCATCGTGGAAACATATGGCTGAATCGCACTGCATACTAATTAATACTCCACTAGGACATACAATATTCGTTAATAGAAAAGACACAAATCAATTCATTGTCACTTAACCTGCAGTTACTCACTGAGATGTGAAGGTGGACAGAGGTAGCTGGGGGAGAAAACAGAAATATTTGAAAACTGAAAGTGTTCTACCTGCCATCATCTTCTGGGCCTCATACGGCTCCATGTAGCCATCATTCTCGGTTGTCACTTTCTCCGTACTGGTCTGGGTGCCACCAGCCTGCTCGGCGTCAAAAGGGTCCGCGTAGTCTTCAAGGATAATGAGCTGGAGAAGAAAAAAAAACAAGGAAAGGTGAAATGGATAGAGGGAAAAAAGTGAAATAGCAATAGGGGGGATTCATTTTGCTGCTCTGTTGAACACTACAACATGGGTTAGGTGTCAGGAGAGTTGTATGACAGATACTGCTGCAGCCCAGGACGGGACCAAGTGATATCCACCGAGGCAGGCCCAGGAGATAAAGGAAGAAACACATAAATAACAGCCCACCTCTGTATGCCTCAGCACACCACAATGCCTCAGCTTTTAGCCTTACAGCACGCTCTCTGCTACTGCTGGTCTGCCTAATTATATGATAGCCCAGTGACAGGCCTACATTTCAAAAGTAGAGGAAAGAAGACCACAACTGCTCAACTTTCTTAAGAGAAACAATTTGGCAGATTTATGCCGAGCTGGCAGTGAGCCACGGCTAATTGCAGTCTTGCTCTTTTGCTGAGCATTTTGTGCAGTAGATGGCAATTAGGTGGACGTCCTGAGACCCAGAAATACAGCTCAAACCTTTAGGGAGCAGAACAACAGTCTGCATCTATACTGCCTTGTGGGGATATTTGTTTTCTTGAAATGTTTGCTTCATCTACCAGGACACTGCTTTAAAAGTAAAGATCTTCTCTTAGAAAGGAAATAACCTCCCATCTGAGCCATCTGTCCTCTTGGACACTGGATCTAATGAGGGGGTGTGACTACAGGGGTTTGGGCCAGCTGTTAGAAAATTGACTTTTTCTCTGTTGAGGCTCCTGACAGTCTCGTCCTGCCAATCAGTGGGCAGAGCAGAAGGGCAAAACATGTTCTGGAACTTGAGACATTTTGGGAAAAGGGTTTCAAACAAATAAGGAAAGGCTTAAGCATGCACCTAAGGGAGCATGTAAACACGTACATGACTGGCACTACACCCTATGAGTCATGTGTAACAGGAAGGGATTTGGTTTCATTATAAACAAGCTCATCACTCATCTGGTGGATGGGGCCGGGCGGGGCAGGCTGGAGGTGGACCGAGCCTCATGCCCGCCGTGCTGTTCCTCCACCTAGCCAGCTTTCTGAGAACAACCACTGTCCATCTTTGCCACAGAGAGGGAGCATGCTTCCCAGAAGCAAACTCCATATACAGGCCACCCGTGAGAATGCCACAGGCACACACACACACACACCTGCCAAGCCTCAGGGAACCAAGTAAAATGTACAGATATATCCTTACAACTGTCTCTTCAGCTGGGAAAGCAGCGTCATTTGTACAGTACTGACTGAGGACAAGTGTCATTAAACACAGTCAGGAATTTAATAAAAGATGTCTTGAAAAGTTTGTGTTAAATGCGAGTTCACTCAGGATCATTTGTAAGCCGCTTAGTGACAGGGAAATGCTGCAGTTATTCCTGCACAGATCATCTCCACTGTACATGGATTAGGGAATAATAGCAAAGGAAGTAAGTACAACGGATGTGTTTCATAGCTACTGTGTGTTAAATCCTCCTTCCTCAATTTTCCCTCTCCATCTGTTTTGGGAAAAATAACTAGGACTTTTTTCTGCCACAGCATAATTATGGGTTCCTTGAATGTTTTGCTTCTGTGAATTCAAGCAGCGGGAAAAATCCAATACAAACATTGTCCCTGTTTGTTTTTGCTCCACACAAATATACATATTTCACTTACAAGTTTTAATCAAAATTCAGAAATTTGGATAAGCAACATCTCTGCAGCCCCAGAGGCCCCAAAAACTCTCTGTGAATTATGCATTGCAGCCACAGCGTCATTACCATCTTGCACCTTGTTGCATAGAGACTCAGTCATCAGTAATCATAGCGTGTGCCAAACCCACCTCAGATACAGTCACTGAAAACACAGCCCAGACCTAAGAATAAGTCACCCTCACTAAAAAAAACCATATGAATCAACTAAATGGGAGGGATGAAGGCCAGTGCCCATTTGACTGCGGTCCGCATACTGTAGCAGAGTGGCTCGAGGTTTGAGACCATAACCCACAGATGTGATAAAACACTCCAAATGTTGTATCTTACATTCTCTTCAGCAGCTTAGGATGACAGAAGTAGTTTATATATTTGCCCACAGCGAGGTTCTAGCAGAGCTCACGCCTAAAACTTCTACCACCTCACCACACTCACCTTTATGAGCCAAAGGAGGTTTGGGCATGTATCTGGAAATAATAGCAATCACTTGAGATTGTGTGGAGCCACTCCAAACACATGACATCATCTTTTGCTTTTCCTGTTGACATGTAGGACAAATAAAGGGTGGGGTATGTGATGAAAACCTCTGATAGCATCGGACAGAGTGATGGCTTCAGATTAAATGCAATCACAGATAAAAAAGCTTGGATTGGAGACTCAAACACAACGCTTTGTTTGGCCTTTTAGAAACAGTCTTGCCGTCCACAAGTTGTTAATATTTATGACTTGGAAATTTTGCTTTGGTAATGTCTGAAGTAGCATTGTACAGGGGGCAGAGAGCGCAGACACCTCGCTCTAATGTATGTGCCTTTTGCAATCCCAAACAATCAAAATCAGGCTAAATCAAAGTCTAATAGGCCTGCTGGTACTCTGAAAGCAAACAGGAATGGGCAATCAGTCACAAGTGGCTCTTGTTGTTCTGCTCTTTAACATTCTGCAGAGGCTGAGCCGGTATTTGAAATAATTCGAACTTCAGAAAAGGAATCCATTCACAGCTGCTAACACTGTGATCACCTTAATTATGGCCCCCGTACCCAAATATATATAATATATATAATATATTAGAGAAGGTTACCAAACAGCTAACACTACAACAACAGATTTATATTTTACAGGCATATATTTCACTCCAAGTTGGGCAGTAGTTGTCTTTTCAGTACATGGCTCATGTTCTTATTCCAGTCAGTGGGGATAGTAACGTTTTCTTTTCCCATCAAAAGCTAACTTAAGCGGATGACAAACCAGTTACCAGCATGACTACCTTGGACTAAAACTGAAACAAAAAGCAGTTGGTTGTGGCAGTGTGAAGAGGCAAATGTGTCACAACATAGCTCAAGATTATGGCACTGGATGATGACTAACAGGAGTGGTTTGTTCAAGACCTATCTTTTTGTCGAGTGAGAATTTGTGAGCTGCATGACCACTATCAGCACCGCCCCGTGTGTCACATTCATATCTTAGGTGAACCTCATGTGTACATCTACAATATTACATTGTTTATTACATTCGCAGGCAACAACATTATTCATTTTAGCCTGCATGGATCCTTCCTGGGCATCTGGAGATTTGAACCTTCAACTACTCAGATCAACAGACTGCCTCCGTAAGGCGCCATCACCCAGCCACTACAGCTTAGTACATGTTTGGGTGGAGGTGGTTAATATTTCCAAATTGTTCCAATGTGTCCTTCCTGTCCCACTGCACTAATGACTGCTCGACAGCAGGAGGAGCACGGGGTTGTGAGGAGAGGGGTGCTGGAGAGCGGCGGCATCGCCTGGGGACACGCCATCTGCCTTGTGGCATGCCAGGGTGTGTCAGGACTGCAGCCAAGCCACACTTGTCAGGAAAGCAAAATGTCCCCTCAGCACAAGACTGCAGTGCCTCCATGTATCAGGTCTTTGCTAAGCCGCGCTGTAAGCCTATGGGAATCTCACGCCACCACCTCACAGGCTTAGGCCGTGTCCTTGTGGCGGTTGGGTCCTTTACTGGTCTGCAGCATGGAGAGAGAACTCGCTCAATTACTTTCATTCCACAGCTCAGATCCCACGTTGGCCGTGTCTTACACCTGCCAGAGCTCTGGCAGCTCACAACAGACTTCTTGAAATGCACTACGGCTCTCGGGCAATGAAGCTGACTTCAAATCAGTGGGAACACAGGGGGAACATTAGCAAAGGAGGGAGACTATAACAGGCACCTGCCACTTTGGCTCAGTGCTTGACGAAGCTAGAGGTTGCAGGATTACATTTCGATTGGGCCCCGGTCTTCCATTAGACGTGAGAGAAATGGGCTACAGTTTGCCTCCTGCGCCCTTAATGGAGAGAGAATGTGTTCAGCTGGATTATCAGATAATCAGGAGAAAAAGAATACAAATTTCACAAACTGCATTAGTTGAAATTTGAGCACGGCTGGAAATTTGGTTACAATTATTAGAAAATAGGCTGCTCGATTTCTCTTTTCGCATTTCGAGCAAGCTGCACGTCCAGCGTAGCCATTTCAGAGCCGTAAACAACCAGAAGCAAATTCAATGTAACAGCAGACCTATGATTTCACCAGGCAAAAACCAGATAAACACTTTTAGAGAAAGATAAACATGCTAAAAATCCTGCTGTATGAGTGCAGACAGGAATATGATATTAATGTCATGGCTGGTCTGGGAAAGATTGAATGTGTCAAGGTTGATGCCTCTCTGAGGTTGGCAGAAAAGTCAGCAGGCTGTAGAACGAGGGTGGAGGGGAAAAAAAGAGGACTGACGTGTGTGATTTATGTCTCACGCCACGAGGGATTTCAGCCACTGATAACCTAATACAACTCAGTGCTTAGCAGCTCAATTGCATTACAGCATTTCAAAAGGCTTTTATTTTTTTGATTTTTTTGCTGCTATTGCTCTTTTGTTCTTCGGTGTAACAAAAAAAGAAAACACGCCACTACTGTGAGGACAGAAAGCCATTTTAAAGAAGAGAGCAAGGGAGGGGAGAGAAAGATGAGGGGACACTGTTTTTTATCTTTCTACAGAAGAGCACCGCCATGCATAAAGTATGTTTACTCCTGTTGGATGGAAAAATGCTCAAATGTTCATGTGGAAGCAAAACTCAGCAAACTGAGCATCACTGAAGTGCCTCTGCTGAGTGCTCCTCCACCTTCTCTTTGTCTGTGAACACAGGATGAATGCCGTGTGTGCAGTGTGCAGTCATTCAAGGATAACTTAGCCACAATTTTGGAGAAAGAACATAGTTGCAAGAAACACTCCCTCAAGGCAGTTTACTTAAGCAAAAATGATCACAGGTTCTCTGTTGACATAATGCAGTTACT